CCTACAGGCTACTAGACCTGATGTCACCTATGCTGTCAATGCATTGAGTCAGTTTGTTGCTGATCTGAGACAAAGTCATATGGATGCTGCGAATCGCGTGTTGCGGTATCTGAAAGGAACAACAGGTCAAGGGGTTTTACTTCCTAAAGATGGCGACCCGGTCTTGACTGCCTTCTGTGATTCAGATTGGGTTGGGTGTCCGTACACAAGGCGGTCTCAAACTGAAACGACCCAAAAATACGACCCAAAAATTTTTTTTTTTAATATAATCAAAACTGTAATCAGAGTATCATATAATAAACCATGCGTGATGTATTCCAAAACATGATAAGATACTGTGCGGAAAACTATATCATACTACATCAAATCAAACAACTAAATCAATCCCAGGCTAAAGCTGAGGCGGTGGTGTGTGCGATGTCGTCATCTCGAGCTCTTCCCTTTGCTTGCGGAATTACCTGAAACCAAAACTGAAACTGTAAGCACGAAGCTTAGTGAGCTCCCCCAAACTACCACATACCATACAATAACATATAAACATATATTGGGCCTTGCCCACTGCATCGTGCCGAAGCCCGGAAACTGCATCGGACCGAAGTCCGGAACTGACTGGGACCTTGTCCCCTGCATCGGACCGAAGTCCGGAACTGACTGCATCGGACCGAAGTCCGGAACTGACTGGGACTTGTCCCCTGCATCGGACCGAAGTCCGGAACTGACTGCATCGGACCGAAGTCCGGAACTGACTGGGACCTTGTCCCCTGCATCGGACCGAAGTCCGGAACTAACTGCATCGGACCGAAGTCCGGAACTGTCTGACTGAACATGGCATGGCATAACACATCAACTAGCATAACACATATACGACATGCTATATCGGGCCGTGACCCGGAACACATAATACTTAACACATAAAACATAGCACACAATCCTGTTCGAACCACGAAGGCATCGAACATACTAACTGCTGCATCGGACCTAAATCCGGAAACTACTGCTAACTGAACGGGCCGGCATTGTGGCCTTAGACCCGTTCCTACTGGAAGGAAACTCACCTCGTAATCTGGCTGCTGAGTGTGTGGCTCGGGAGCTAACGGCGGCTGCTCCTGAATCTCCTCGGCTACAAGTCCATAAACACACTCAATCAAAAACTAAACACTGCGCTTGGGGTAAAATGACTCTTTTACCCTTGGTCAAAGTCAACTCTCTTTTGGGCTGACTCGCCGAGTTGGCCACCCAACTCGCCGAGTCCTACTCTCATTTTTCACTTCTGCTCACTGCTACTCGTCGAGTCTGGCATCGACTCGACGAGTACCTACTTGATCCAAGAACTCAGACAATCTTCATCCGACTCGCCGAGTCGTATGAACAGACTCGACGAGTTGTTCTTGATCCCAAGAAGATTGCCTTGGACTCGCCGAGTTGTATGAACAAACTCGTCGAGTCCCTCCATCACTGAGTCCACTCTCAACTCGCTGAGTCCACTCTCTAACTCACCTCGTACACTCGACACTGATAAAACTGAAGGACTCGGGACTCGCGACCCGACTCGTCGAGTCGTCCTTCCGACTCGCCGAGTCGCCGCCATGCAACTGATTTCTACTTGATTTTGTTTGAATCCAATGCATACAATTGATAGATCTGAGTCCAATAAGCTGTTTTACCACGTAAAGTTTCCAACTTTACGTGCACAACCTCATGAATAAGGGAAATAAGGCTAAAAGATGCATAAAATGGGTAGATCTATGGTTATCATGCAATATAACTCCAAAAAGACAGTAGATCTGGGCTCTACAACACCCCAACATTCAGATCCATAGATATTCCGACTTAATAAGACATTCATGCAAGTGTAAGGCTTGGAACAAGCATCAACTAGCTCTTAGGAGAGCTCTAATGGAAGTTTAAAGCATATAACAAGATGGAACTCCGAAAATACCTCAATTAACTCTGATTTGGCCTTGGATCTTTGCACTACAACACTTCTCCTTGCTTCTTCCTTCTTCTCCTTCTTCACACCTTCACAAAATGGCACCAAAACACATATAAGCTCTTCAATGGAGGTTTGGGGCTCTAACACTGTGTTCTCAGGGTGAGGGAGGCGAGAATGGGGCTATAATGTGGTTTAAATAGTGGGCAAACCCGGGGATTTAGGGTTTCACCCAGACGGACGGACTCGTCGAGTCCGGGATATGGACTCGTCGAGTCCCCGGCTCCCGCGTGCACAGAATATGCGACCCAACTCGGCGAGTCAGGCTAGAACTCGTCGAGTCCCTCTTGTAAACTTAGACAATTTAACAATTAATTAACATACCGGGAACGGGTCGTTACAATTCTCCCCCACTTGTCTCAGACTTCGTCCTCGAAGTCTGCTACGGCTGGATCTGCGAATAACTCCGGGTAGTGCGTTCTCATCTCTTCCTCAGCTTCCCACGTCCATTCAGATCCCTTCCGGTGCTGCCACAGCACCTTCACTAGCTGAATGACCTTGTTCCTCAAGGTCTTGATCTTTCGATCCAGAATCGCGACCGGTCTCTCAATATAATTTAGGCTGCTATCAACTTGAATATCCTCTAGGGGAACGACTGCTGACTCATCCACCAAACACTTCCTCAACTGCGACACGTGGAAAGTGTTGTGGATCTGACTAAGCTCCTCGGGAAGATCTAACCGATAAGCAACCCGACCCACCCGGGCCAAAACCCTGAAGGGACCAATAAATCTGGGGCCCAATTTGCCCCTCTTCCGAAACCGGATGACACCTTTCCAAGGTGAGACTTTCAGGAGAACCATATCTCCCACCTGGAACTCCAAGTCCAAACGCCTCCTGTCGGCGTAGCTCTTCTGCCGGCTCTGCGCAGTTTGCAACCTACTACGGACCTGCTGGATCAACTCAGTCGTCTTGAGCACCACTTCGGTGCTCCCGATGACTCGCTGACCGACCTCGCCCCAACAAATCGGGGTCCTGCACTTCCTGCCATATAACATCTCAAAAGGAGGTCGATCAATGCTCGCATGATAACTGTTGTTATACGAGAATTCCGCTAACGGAAGATACGTATCCCAACTGCCCCAAAATCTAGAAACACATGCCCTAAGCATGTCCTCGAGAGTCTGAATCGTCCTCTCGCTCTGCCCGTCAGTCTGAGGATGAAAAGCGGTGCTGAAATGGAGACGAGTACCCATCTCGTCGTGGAATCGCTTCCAGAACCTGGACGTGAAACGAACATCTCGGTCCGACACCACCGATACCGGCACTCCATGACGTGCCACAATCTCTCGCACATAGATATCGGCTAACTTCTCCGCCGATATACTCTCCTGAATCGGAATAAAATGGGCACTCTTCGTCAACCGATCCACTACTACCCATATCGAGTCCACCCCGCGTGCGGTCCTAGGGAGTTTGGTGACAAAATCCATGGTGATATCCTCCCATTTCCACACGGGAATGTCTAACGGCTGCATCTTGCCGTGAGGTCTCTGGTGCTCCGCCTTGACCTTCCGGCAGGTCAAGCATCTCTCAACGTACCAAGCGACGTCCCGCTTCATGCAGGGCCACCAATAATCCGGTCGAAGATCTCGATACATCTTCGTCGCCCCTGGGTGGATA